AGTGCAAAGTGCCCAAAAAGAAGGAAAAAGTACAAAAGACATTTTTAATCAAGACTCTTCAGTATTAGCAGCTGCAGGGACTGGGACCTCGGACGATTCTGGTGGAACCTCCTCGGCAACCTTTTCTGCTTCTATCTCAGCATCAATCTCAGCCAGCGTATTGTCCAGATTTCTCTCAGCCAAAAGAAGGTCGGATGATAGTTGCCCGATGGCAATTTCCTTGGGTGCCTCCCCAACCTCATCACCCTCCTCATCCAAGGTTAAATCCATCACTTGCCCAGCAGGAGGAGGGGACTTGGCCTTCAGCAGCGTCTTTGGTTCTCCTCACCAAGGCTTCATCATCATTTTTCTCTTCATCCTCACCCTCGGCATCAACCTCAGTCTCTGATTCATTTTCAACTTGACTTGGAGGAGGAAATGGTAAGGGAATAGCATCGGCATTACGAAAGGGCGAGTCAACAGGGAGATTAAGTTTTTTTATCAAGGACATCCAACCTAGGAAAAATCCCCTGTTGCATGCCTGCCTGACTTGAAGTTTATAATCCTCTGCGACGTCGGCCATACCCTGGGCATAGGCCTTTTCATCAGCCTCTTTGACTTCGGCCTCCTTGGTGGCCAAAGCCTGCTGGAGCTCCTTCTCAGCCTGGGCCTTTTTTACTTCGGCGTCCTTCTTTTCAGCTTCAGCTACTTTTCGGATAGCCTCAGCAGACTCCACTTTCTCTTCAGCCAACTGTTGAGCCTTAGTCGCAGCCTCAGCCTGGCCCTCCAGTTTTCTCATCTTTGATTCAAGAGATTTGATCTCCTTCTTCATGGAAGATGCTTCCCTCTTCATATCAACCAATCTTTGCCGATTTTCAAAAGATTGCATTGAGAATGAATGGGCGTGCTGAATGGCCTGAAGAAGAACAGAAGTGTTAGAAAATATTCTCAGTAAGAAACAGAAGGAAAAATCACAAGTGCAAACAGGAACACTTACTTGAACTGAGTGTTGGAGCATGAGAGCGTAATTCTCATACTCGCTAAGCTCAGCATTTCGTTCCAAATCCTTTGGAAGGAGAAGAGCAGTGCTGAGGGCAACACCAACGTTAATATCGTCGGCGCTTTCACTGGCCATAATAGGCCTATCTTCCAAAGTTAGTTCTGGGGCCCATGGAACGTCGGGCTTCTTCGACGCCGAGGTCGTCGCAGACGATGACCTTGGCCTCTTTGATTGTGTGGACCCCGAGGGTTGGGTTTCAGCGGATCTTTTTGTGGAAGCAGAGGTAGTCTTTCTGCTCTCAGCCAGTCGAGAGATAGGCAAAGCATCCTCAGCCTCGGCGTCAGTGGCCTTGGCTTTGGGCTGAGCCTTTTTTACTCTCTTCAGCTTTGGTGGGGGCATCACATGCGATGGTACAGCATCAGCGTCGGTTGGAAGGTCGGCAAGAAGATCTTGAACGACAAGCCTTGGACGAACCATCTCGGCAGTCTTTACAAGTCTTCGTCGACGTTTACGTTCTGGAATTGGGATTAAGTTGGGGGCCGAAGTGGATGGAAGATCGGCTGGGTCAGAGGTGGATCCTTGATCTGTTCGGGATGAGGACGCAGTTACAGTTGTGGCAGTAGGAGGAAAAAGACTCTTTTTCTTCCTTTTCGGGACGCCAGGTAAAGTAGATTTATATGTCGGAATGAAGTTCAGCAACAGGGGAGCCTTGCGCTCATGGATTGGAAGACCAAGAAGCTTCTTTAAATCTTGACCAGGGAAGAAGGATTGACGGAAGTTCTTTGGTGGTTGATGAAGATCTGCAGGACAAGCAAACAGACATTAGAAACAGACAAATTTTAAAGACTTAAATAAAAACAACTAAGCATTGGCACTGGGCTCTTACCCTTGCCCTCTGTAATTGTTCGAGGAAGAGGGTAGAGGTGGACATCTTCATCTGGGCCAAATTCTATGCAACTCTATAATGTTTGTGTGCTCGCAAAGCAGAAACTACAAATTGAAAACATCAATCAATGGTCAATAACAACGTTAACTACTTGTGTTCAATGTGTTAAAGCTTATTGGTATTTTTGGATTTCAAATAAAAAACTTACTAACAACGCTACCACACACCCAGTGACCCGTTGCGGCCTGTTATGTGCCTCATTCAACGAAGAAACTAGTGAGTTTCGGATCGTTACTATCCAATCATACAACCGTAAAGTCTCCAACTTATCAATAACCTGCGCAAACGCCCACCCGATGGACTCGCCCGTTGTAGCGAAGAACAATTTCGCACATATGTACGGGATTAAGTGGAAGCCGAAGTCCACATTCAGTAAAGGCTACTATAGGAAAGGGCATCGTATGGTCTGTGGGCATGATGGTATCACCATCCCTAGCTAGCTTAAGGTGAACATCGGCTGGGATAGAGAATTCCTGCCTAAAGTATTCGTGTTTTGTTGGGGTATTTACCCTATGCCTCTACATACCCATTACGCCGATTTAAACAAAAGAAGAATGTGTTTCAGAAGATGGGCGTTTAAAGAAGGGTTGCAAGAACCTCGGCAAAGACTTAGGAAATGACTGATAAGGCTTGTTTCAGTTTTCCCTAAAACTTAAAGGTTCTACACACAAATCCCAAGCCTAAGAACTATAAAGATCAAGATCGAAGGCACAGATCTGGGACAGATACGGAAAACAGAAAACAGAGACGAAGTTTCAGATTCAAGAACAGAGGTATAGTTCTCAGAAATAAAAGAAATACAGAAGTAAAAAAAAAAATCAAGAACAGTGGCAAAAAAAGTGGTGAAATAGTGCAAGTGTTCAAGATGTAGCCACGATTCAAGATACAAACAAATCCAAGGCTTTGGACAAAAGCAATAATGACAACAGGCAACGAAAGCACATAAAGAGAGCTAAGAGTGAAAGGAGCAGAATCTTACTAGACCAAATGAAGCCGGGGCAATATTCGCCGAGATCAGAAATCAGTTGTGACAGCAAAGAAAGCTTCGCAAGAATGGAAGATTAAAGACAGCTTCAGAAGATTGAAGCAATGGCAGATTCGAAGGAAAAAAGAGCTTTCGGAGAGAGAAAGAGCAAGAAATCAGAATGGAAAAAGTGAAGAAAGAAAGAGGCAAGGAAAAGTTTTGTCAAAAACGTGAAACAGCAGCAAAAATAGGGCATTTATTACGCCTAGAGCAACGCACGCGTCAGGCGGCGCAGACGAATGACAGACAGCTTTCAAGCGCGTCACAAACACGCTCCAATGAAGACAAAACACGTGAAAGGAACGGTTAGATATGCATGACAGCTCATGCGCGTGGGAGAGTACGTTCGAAACCTTGTTCTCCGAAGAGAACACATCGGTTGGAAGTGGATTATCTCGGCTAAACAGTTTTTGAGCCATTACTCAGAAAAGAAATGTCGAAATATCGGTATAGGTTCCATCACCTCAGAATACCGAGGTAATAGAACCTAGGGGGCAGTTGTGGGGATATATTTTCTGAATACCAACACGTGGCATGGTGACGCCGACGTGTCAGCCGAGGTGCCACGTGTCGTGGTAGTTAAGCCGAGATGATCTCGGAGTTGCCGAGGTTATCTCCGAACATATCGGAATCTGAGATAAGCGGATAAGGGACAAGAGTCCTAAGACGAAGAGGGGACTTAACCAAGATAAGGATAAAGCTCTTAGGGAGTTTATCTTTATCTCTTAAAGAGTCCAAAGTAAAACACTGAATTGGAGTTCATAGAAGTCATACTTCTAGCAGAACTTGGATTGAATATATTATAAAAGAGAGGCACCCCCGTGGGTCTAAGGTATGCAATTTATGTTTTGAGTATTGAGTTTAGCACTTGATTATCTTTGAGAGATATACTGACTTGATCGTTGGAGTGTCCTGGGTGGTCGAAACCACCGCGGAATTCTTATATTTCTGTTGCAGGTCAGTCAGGTGTCATCTATTCTGCCAGTGCTCTCCAGCTGGTTACTAAACAGGCAGTGTGGTCAAAAAATCACCCACACAGTTAGTGACATTAGTGCCAACTAAAACAGCAATGTTAATTTTGTAGCAAAAGTTGTTGGGTCATGCTAATGATGAGGATCTTCTGAGCCGTTAATATGGTATGGAAAATGTCTAAATAATTATAATTTCCTTTTTTATATATTTTAAAATATTTTTATACATTCAAATAAAAAATTATATACCTTTTACACAAACTTCGAAAACAAAGACTAACAATTTTTAAAATTATTTATCATTTCATGTATTATAAGTGTATTGATTTAATAAATCTCCTCACTCATATTTATTGCTAATAAAAAAATAATTTTTACGTAATAAATAAAATATGATAAAAAAAAAAATACCATCCACGGCATTATTACACCAACAAGCTATCCCGGGTTTGATACCTAAATGTTATAGAAAAAATATCACTCTTGGAGTAATACTCCATTGCACTTATTAATTGACATTTTTCATGTTCTCCTAAAATACCTACATAAAAGTGATGAGCCCTATTATTTATACCAATAATTATCAATTTGAAGCACCTAATTACTCTAAGAACACTAATAATTTTTCATAAATGTCAATACTCTGAAAAGATGGGCAAAGGTTTGTAACATAAACAAATCCAAATCAGAAAACAAAAATCAAAAAAATAACTCGACACCTAACCCCATAATTAGTTTGAATAATTTTTTTAATCAATAAAGTTGCCAATATATTTCAGATGGTATTGTTAGAGGAGATCTCAATGTAGTTAGGTTTGATGACTCCCTTGGCTTTTTCTTCTGTTTAACTGGAACAACAATAATAAAGACCTTTTTTTTTTGTTTTTTGGAAGATCCTCACAACTTTTAAAATGATTCACACCATTTATAATGTATGAGTTCTCCCAAAAAAAACAAAAGGTCTCACTCATTTTCTTGTCATCATCACCGAACCTTTTTCTGGTGCTCATAAAAACAATTCTGGTTTTTTATTAACAAAAACTCAAGCTGAGAAGGAATTTTTGATTTTCTGGTACGGCCTGCGCATTTGTTCTTATATGTTATCTTTGTTGGAGATGATGATTTTTGGGCAATTTTAACTTAAAATTAAAGTGAGATTCAATTGCCGGTTGAGGTGGGTTTGAGTGGTTTTGTATTTTCTTAAGTGAGAAAATTATAATATAAAAACAATGAGCCGAAACTATTGAGTTGTGAATGAGAATTGTCTCATAAAGTGGGCATTAACAAAGTTGGGCTTAGATTTGGACTTAATCTTAATTTGAACTGAGCCTAGACTTGTGCTTGTTCATGTGTTGGGTTTAGTTTTGGACTTAATCTTGAGCTTGGGCTAAGTTATGGTGTGTTAGACTTAGCTTGTGCATGTGTTTGAGAATTGGGCTTGGATCGAATTGTAACCCAAGATTAGTATCCATTTTGTGACCCCTCTAGTTGGTTTATTCAAATACCATTATATACATATTTATTTATATATATTAAGCACATAAGAAATATAAATTTTTATAACTCTTATCTTTTGATGATGAAGTTAATGACTATATTAGTGGCTATAGGTTTTCAACTTTTGTAACTCTAGCCTAATGGCTAGAGTTGATGGCCTTGGTCAATGGCATTTGATGGCCCTATTGATGTATAGTCTTCATGGCTAGGGATTTCCTTACTAATAAAAATAGAAGTCTTTCCCTTCCAACTTATTAGGATAATTTTTGGAGATATTTTTGATGAAAAATGGAGATGGTGTTTTGAGATAAAAAGTTAGAGTTTTTTTTACCAATTTTTTTTTCGTATATTCTTTTTCTAGCCCCTTCTTTGGTTCTTGGTAGAGAGAGTGTAGTTATTGTCAAGTTCGCCAAAACTATTCAGAAAGTATTTCTGCATTAGCTGGTTTCGACTATCATATCCTGGGAGACAGACACCAGCGTACCTCTATCACCCATCGGGAGGCGATGAATCTGTTTTAAAAAAATGTTGTATCACACAAGTTTCAATTTGCATCTCTTATCTTTTGTTCTTCAAACTTTTAGATTTGAACTATTTCTTCCATATTATTTTATATGTTCATAAGAATCCATCTTGTAATACCTTCTATGATATAATCTAGTTTATTTAGATATTTTTAGTTGGGTAGTTTATTCTATATTTCATTCTTTAATAAAAAAAATAAAAATAAAAATTATTTTGTCATTTCAATTTATTTTATTTTATATATTTTTCTTATATTATTATGAAAAAATACCAATAATCTTAAAACAGATTCATATGTAATTTTCAAAAATTAATGTTTAATTATTAAAAACGATAATTGCTACTCTTTCCTAAGAATTTAGGATATACATTGTGTTAGTTCTTTATTTGTGTTAATAATAATTGGTTTTGTTAAAATAGACTTATATAAATAATT